GCGCTGCTGGATACAACGGATCCATCCTCCAAATCCGCGGTAATCCAGACCCCCCCGCTCCGCACCGCACCGCACCGCACCGCACCGAGCCGCGAGTTACTGCGAGAGACGCGGTTTGTCTCGGGCCGCAGCGCCTCTGTTTACAAACAAAGGCCGCGCAAACCGGGAGCGACCGCAGCCCCCGGCCCCGCACCCGGCCCCGCACCCGGCCGGCGTGCAGGGCCCAGCCCGCGCCTGCTCTCGGCACCCGAGTCCTTGCACGTCTAGAGATGCACACACACACACACAGATACACACGCAAAGCTCTGTATAGACGCAAGCATATAGATCTATCCAGAGAGATATAAATACATAGCTGTAGGCAGCCACCTATATCGGTAGGTAGATGTACAGATATAGATGCATATCTAAATATAGGAGTATACACGCATATGCACACGTATGTGCATGTATATTACACATATGCACGCTTATAAATATATATACACATCTATAAATCTATACACACATACGTACACTAGATACACACACACATATGTATACACACACACATGCACGAAAGATGTATCTGTCTGTCCTGCAGGAAGACTGAGGTCGCCTTATTCGAAACAATCACAATACTAATAGTCCAATGGATGTTTTAGCGCGGGTCCCAATGACGTCTGTGCCGCGCTGATTTGATATTTGGCTTCCTGAGAGGAGGGGGCTTTTATTTTTCCTTAAAGCAGCCCATTAAAAGTGATTTCTTCTCCCCCGCCCCCCCGACATAACTGCAGCAAAGAGTTGGGGGGAGGCCTCCAAATCCAAGCCTACCCTCGCCAGCTGGCTTCCTGCTGACCTTTTTGGCAACTAACTACCCTCCTTCACCGAGACAGCCTTCAAGAAGGGGGAATCTATCTATCTATCTATCTATCTATCTATCTATCTCGATAGATATATATATGTGTGTGTGTGTGTATATATATATGTAAAGAGAGAGAGAGAGCTATCTATATCTCTATATGTATATTTATCTGTATCTATCTGTATAGATATAGAGCTAGATATCTGTATTTATGTATATCTACCTACACATATCTATCTGTAGACAGAGACGGAGATAGATAGATAGATAGATAGATAGATAGATAGATAGAGATCTCGTCTATACATACCGACGTCTGTCTCGCTATAGATGTATAGGCTATGCAGCTATAGATACACGCGCACACACATAAAGAGCTGGACAAGTCCTGGCCGGGGGACGAAGCAGGGGAGAGAGCAGTAATTCAGTGGTTTTAGAGTGAAGCCATAGGAAGGAGAGAGGAGGAAAAAAAACCCCACCATGTCAGCAGCATCTGGAGTTTTTAAGAGAGATGAAATATGTCCTTTGCGTTGTTTGGTGGCCCTTTGCTCTTGAATTATAGCTGAAAAGGATTTAGCTAGAGCTAAAGGGGACCTGTGCTTTCTCTGTCTCTCTCTCTCTGGCTCCTCTATCCTCTAGGTATTACAAGAAATTATATATATTCCTCACGCTGAGGCACAGGAGCAGGGCACCGGCCCCTCCTCTGACAGTCCCTGCTAGGATCCAGGAAGAAAACTGAACCAATTAAGCCATAAAAATATTGGCGGAAACCCGGCGGTGGAGACCCGCTCGGATTTTGCACGTTATAAACGACCAGAGAAGAGGAATTCGCCATATTGCTATTAGCGGGGGCAAAACAGAAAAGGGAAAGGCAAACGCGCGGACACACGATAATAAATAGAAGGGGGGGCAAATGCCCCCAAGCCCGGTCCATAGTGAAAATCGTTGAAAAGGAAAAACTTCACCCGCTGCTTCTATTAAATACAAATCCGAAGAGGAGACCCCTCCCCTCCCCCCAAAGCGCAACGGGTCCCTCTTTGCTCCCCAGCTCACGGCAGACAGAAACACAGCTCGTTTCGCCAAATGGACCCCAGAGAAGATTTAGAAAGGAAAAAAAAAAATAATCATCACCGTGAAAGATTTTGTTAAATAAAGAAAGGATCGTTCCCGGATGCAGTGTCTCCCTTACCTGGTCACCACGGTCTCCCCTTCTTCCCCTGCTTAAAAATCAAATAGATCTTGATTTTTGGTTTGGTTTTTTTTTGGAGGGGGGGTGGGGGTTAAACAGCTAATCCTAAACCAAAAGGATTGGGGGG